CGGGCCCGGGTTCCCCCGGCCAGGGCCCGCGCCTGGGCTGCGCCGCGCTCCGCAACGTGTCTGGCGCGCAGTACGTGGGCTCCGGCTACACCAAGGCCGTATACCGGGTCCGCCTGCCCGGCGGCGCCGCCGTGGCGCTGAAGGCGGTGGACTTCAGCGGCCACGATCTGGGCAGCTGCGTGCGCGAGTTCGGGGCTCGGAGGGGCTGTTATCGGCTGGCGGCCCACAAGCTGCTCAAGGAGATGGTGCTGCTGGAGCGGCTGCGGCACCCCAACGTGCTGCAGGTACGCGGGCGGGGTGCGGGGATGAGGGGCTTAGCTGGGAGCACCTCGGGAAGAGAGCTCCAGGCGCCAGGGACTACCTGGAGTACACCGGGTGCAGACCCGAAGTAAGGCACGGCACACTGCACCACCCTGCCTCTCACCCCTGGGTGAGCCCCTCTTTACCGACAGCTCCTGGGTTTCTCAGCTTGCACACATCCCTTAAAGATAAGAGGCCCCCAAAACTCCAGCTGGCGCTGAGGTATGGAACACTAGGATGTTAGATCTAACTGCCAAGTAAGGCACCAAACATCCGTGCCTGAGTCAGCGTCCAGTGATCAGGTCCCCCGTGATAACAGAAATCCAACCCCCAGATCTTTAAACTTCCAGGGGACCCAATGTGGCTTTAAAGGTGGAGTGGGAAAGCAATGGAATTGAGAAGGGCTGGAAGGAGACTCGTAGAGTCAACAGACTCCCAACAGAGGCCCACACATCCCACCCCCACCCCCACCCCACCCAGAAGCTACTGGAAGGAGTCAGCTAGAAAATGAATGCACAGCCTTTCCCAGAAATGACCTAGGTCTCCCAGGCCCTAGAATGAGTTCACTTGACCCACTGGGGAAGCCTTAGGTCTTAGGGAAGTAGATGGAGGGTCTGAGTGCCCTACTATCTGAGTGTATATGGAAGAGCCTGCGAAGTTGAGAGGCCCAGGGGCCTGGTTTCCCACTGGGTGAGACTTGTCTCTATTTATTGGGGAAACCAGCAAGAGAGATGAGGTCCATGTTGCTCTCTCCAAGCTGACTTCCAGGCTGTTCTCATAATATGGGCCTTAACGGCCCATTTCTCTCCTAGGTCTCTGTCCTTGAGTCTGTCTGGGATGAGACCAATGATTCCCTCTACATAAGTCCAAGCAGACTGAGAGGGGAACCCCTGAGAGATCTTGATGGGGAGAATATGGGATTAGCACAGGTTCCCCAGCCTTAAGCCTGCCCACACTTCCCATCTCTCAGCCACTCTGATTAATCGTTTGATACCCAGAAAGCTGACCAGAAGCCCAGCACTGCCTCTCTTTTCCTCAGGAGTGAGATTGGACCCCAAACCTGGAGGGAGGGCAATGGAAATTAGAATAGACTGGAACACCATGTCCACTCCTGCTGGCTCACAGTCTCCCTGGGACACCTTCACCCTGGCCAGACTCTATGACAGGGTCCTGTACCTTGCACTGATCGTAGAAGATTGGGCAGAGCCACCTTTGTGTGTGGTTATGATGGCTGACAACTGTGTCCGGAGCTTCAGGGAATGAGCGGCTGGTTACGTGGCCATTCTAACTGGGAGGATCTTATTCTCTTCACTTCCCAAGGGCTCTTGGGAAATTTGGAGAAATCCTGGGGTGCCAGCCAGATTCAGCAGGGGCAAAAGGACCTTGAGTGACTTAGCAGGATATTCAGTGTTCGTTGACTTAAGTCCTTCTCTTTAGATCAGGTTTGGCATTTAGCATGCCTTCCTGTATCTTAGAAACTTCTCCCTCACTGCCCTCACCAGACTTCTCAACAAGCATGTATACAGTCCCCAGTCCAAAGAATGGCCCGCCCCTGTAATGTTAGGCCCCTGATGCCAAAGACACTGGAGAAATACCTTATAATTCACCCATGCCCTGGTCCAGGCCTATCTGGGGTCACTGAGGCTGGAGCTAGTGGATTAGCAGTGCTAAGCTAATAAGGGTCCCAGTGAAACAAGGGAGTCCATAGTATGTTTAGGGACTGTTAATGGGGTAGGTCCCCCAATTACTGCCTGGCTCCCAGGCCAGTGTTCCTCTGAGTTCTTCAGCTAGGCTACCTCTGCAGGCAAGGAAGCCTGCAAATGGAGTCTCCCTGCTCAGGAGACACCACCATGTGCCAAGAACTGCAGTTCCTGTTGTTTTAATTCCTCTTAATCATTCAAAATTTCAAAACCGTTCAACTGTTTGTTGAATCAGGGAGGAGCCGGAGAACCTTTCTAGAGTTCCCCATAGCAGGCTATTGAGGCCCCTTTCCCTGTTCTGAAGAGTCTAAAGTTGTGCTGTGGGCTCTAATAACAAATGCAGGACAGCAGGGTGAACTGGGCCCTTCCATGCTTGAGCTCTGGTCCATCTTTTCCTAATTCCAATACACTCTCCCCCAACCCCCTCTGCCTCTCTGTTCTGTCTCTCTCTCGTCTCTCTCATCTGTCTCTCTGTCTCTGTCTCTCTCTCTCTGCCCCTGTCTCCATCTATATCTTTCACACACAAAACAGATGCCTCTATAGCCCAGGGTCAAAGGGCACAGGGTTTTCCCTGACACATACCCATCATCCTGGGGCCTCTGGCTTCAGATGGGCCCCAGGCCTGCTTGGGCCCAGATCCTAGCCAAGCTAGAATATATTTCCTTTCCCAAACAAACAAAAGATGGGATCGAAATGCTTGGCCTCATGCTTGGAGGGGGGGGGGTGAGAGAGGTTAATGGTATCTTTTTATTCTTTCCTGAGGGGTGTTGATTAATACCTCGTTAACAGTGCATTTAACGACCTCGGGGTGTTTAATAACCATCAGAAGTTTCCCACAAAGGCTCAGTCTCTGGGCAAGAAAATGAGAACCAGTCCCCAAGACTACTCTCTTTACCTTTCCCCCATCGCACCCGGGGCCTGGAGCCTGTCTAGGTTGGTGAGGGATATGGACTAAAGACAAAAGCAGGGTCCTTGGGACTGCATCTGTCTTCCTTCAAGTCGTAGTCCAGGGAATCTAACGACCCTACACGGAGTTGCTACTCTCATGAAGGAGAGCTGGCTGCCTTGGGGAAGGAGAGCCACAGGACTCACAAGAGGAAGGGGACACAGGGGGCCCGCAGGATGAGCACGCTGGCCTGAGAGTGAAAGTGTGCAGGGACATCTAGCCCACAGACTCCGCAGCCCTACCCCAGCCCTCCAACACTCTCCCTAATGTGGCCTGGACAAATTGACCTTTGTGTTTCTACCCCACAAGCTGCTGTGGCGTGTATTGAGAGAGGCCAGCAGAAGCAGGGACCCCTGTGAACTTTGATGTGAGTGTTAGAGACAAAGTCAGCTGTGCCTCCCCTGGTCACAAGCCTATGCTTCAGATAGGGCTCCCTAAAAACCTCATCTTCCCTAAAAACCATCCTTCGCTATCACCTTCATTGACACAAATTAGTCACCTTCCCAGATAGGCAAAGAACACCCAGGCTTGTGCCTCTGCCTTTTCTCCCATAAGACCAGAGCATAGGAGAAAAATTAATTAAGCTGCCAGAGAGTGGAAATGGTGAGGAGTAGGCTGGGACTGGCCTGTGTATTAGCAAATGGTATTCTTGGAAAGAACCGGGAGGTGGAACCTGAGTAGCATATAAATGTTCATTTGCGGTCCTATATTTGTTAGCTGTGTGACCTTAGCTGAGTCAGATTCCCCGCCTGAGATTGATGATTTCGCACCCATAACGCCTGTTAGGGCTATTATATGCTAGTAGTGTATTTAGCACAGTCCCTGGTTAACACATGGTAGCCAGACCTGCCCAACTCCCTAAGTGGCAAAAGTTGAGAGAGTTGATGATAGAGTCAGTAAGAACTCTGGCTTCAAGAAAAGAAGGCAGGGCTGGGAAGGTGGCTCAGTGGTAGAGCGCTTGCCTTGCATGCCTGAGGCCCTGGGTTCGATTCCTCAGCACCACGTAAGCAAAAAGAAAAAAGCCGGAAGTGACACTGTGGCTCAAGTGGTAGAGCGCTAGCCTTGAGCTGAAGAGCTGAGGGACAGTGCCCAGGCCCAGAGTTCAGGCCCCATGGCCAGACCCCCCCCCCAAAAAAAAAAACAAGAAAAGAAAAGAAGGCAGACTTGCCAAGCTGTTCTCCTCTGGCCTGAGCCCAAGCAATGGCATAGAGATGGCCTCAGAGCAGAAGGAGGGGTCATCTGACAGTCCAGGCCTTCCTTGTCCCCACCCCCACCCTGCGACCTAATGACCTGCCCTGGGTTTCCCCTAGCTCTATGGCTACTGCTACCAAGACAGTGAGGACATCCCAGACACCCTGACTACCATCACGGAGCTGGGTGCCCCTGTGGAAATGATCCAGCTGCTGCAGACTTCCTGGGAGGATCGATTTCGGGTGAGCAGGAAGGAGGGATGGGCCCCTGGGCTCCTTGCTGGGATGGTTCTCCCTTAGAAGGCAGCCTTCTCCAGCAGCTCAGACTCCTCCTCAGCCTGGAGAGGCGGGGTCAGACTAGCGGAAGGGACACAGGCTGGTTTAGGCTATTGGCCAAAGGGTTAAAAAAACAGGATACAGGATTTTACTGGCTATGCTTTGGCTTTCCCCGCATGTATGTGTTCACGTACATGTGTGCCACACACAACACAGGAGGGCTAGTTTCCTGGGACCACAAACAACCTTAAGATCAGTTTGACCTTTCCCTTTATTCTAATACACTGACCTAAAACCACACTCAAGGCATTCCCTCAGGGGAGAGATCCATAATCTCCAGACTCCCTGCTGCCATCGCCCACCTGTTCTGTATTACACCTGCAGGGTCAAGCCAGCCAAGGATTAGTGGAAAGTCAGGGGCTTCCTCTCTAAAAAGCCCCAACTTTTATGGAGTACTGGGGCCTACTGAAGAGAAAGGAGGGAGGGGATCCCAGAGTCCAGGAGGTCCAACCCAACCTGTCTGCCCCCAGATCTGCCTCAGCCTTGGCCGCCTCCTCCACCACCTGGCCCACTCTCCCTTGGGCTCGGTCACTCTCTTGGACTTCCGCCCTCGGCAGTTTGTGCTGGTGGATGGGGAGCTGAAGGTGACAGACCTGGATGATGCCCGAGTGGAGGAGACGCCATGTACCAGCAGTGCTGACTGCACGCTCGAGTTTCCAGCCAGGAACTTCACTCTGCCCTGCTCAGCCCAGGGCTGGTGTGAGGGCATGAATGAGAAGAGAAATCTCTACAATGCCTACAGGTGACCACCATCTGCTCGGGAACTCCAGCCTTGGAGGGTGGGCCTAGAAGGGTATGACTGGGCAGGGAGCCAACGTGGGGTCCTAGAGGCCACTGGGGAGGGAGACTAGCCTTAGCCAATGGAGCCATGGAGCGGGGAAAGCCTTCCACCCAGTTAAGAGAGAATGTTCAGGCTTCTGATGCTGAGGCTAAAAATAGACCACTCCAAGGAGAAGCCGGGTTAGAGGGGGGCAGCTGAAGGTTTCTGAAAATAGCGTTGGACTCGGCCTAGGCCTGGTAGAACTGGCATATCTCCTCCCCACCCTCGCTCTTGACCTCTGCAAAGCTGCTTATAGCTGAGAAGCCCCAGCTAGGGGGCTGCTCTGATGCTGGGGTCAGTAAGAGGACAGTGTGGGCTGGAAGGTGGGGAATGGTGGGAAGCACAAGTCTCAGATCTCAGTTTGGTCTGAAGTTAGTTGTGGTCACAGCTGTGCCCAGACCCATGGCCCAAGGCTGAGTAGACTGCCTGAGGGTGTGCCTCATCACTAGGGCTGAGGGATCTTGCTTTCCAGCTAGGCTAGTATCTGTCTCAACACAGATTTTTTTAAAGGATGTATCCTTAAAAGCAGCACCCCACCCCACCCTTGGGCTGGGAATGTGGCTTAGTGGTAGAGTGTTTGCCTAGCATGCATGAAGCCCTAGGTTCGATTCCTCAGTACCACATAAATAGAAAAAGCCAAAAATGGTGCTGTGGCTCAAGTGGTTTAGTACTAGCCTTGAGCAAAAGCTCAGGGACAGTGCCCAGGCACTATGCCCTGAGTTCAAACCCCAGGACTGGCAAAAAAAAAAAAAGCAGGCCCCTGACTCCCTGGTTTCCCTCTGCCACAGGTTTTTCTTCACATACCTCCTGCCCCACAGTGCCCCACTCTCGCTCAGGCCTCTGCTGGACAGCATCGTCAATGCCACAGGTGAGACTCAGACCCCATCCGCTTCCCATCCATCTGCACCTCCCCTTGGGAGGTGTGTGTGGGGACAGGAACCAACTTACAGCATCACTGGACCCAGAATCCATCTTTTCCCAAGGCTTATTCTGTAGCAAAGGCCCTCCCCTCCCAGGCCACAGTTGTTTGAGTGTAAGGCCCGCCTGGAGGCAGTAGGGACAGCCTCGCTGCCTCTGTGGGGGGGAATGAGCCTCCGGGCCAGCCTTCACAGGTCACACCTGTGCTGCACTCGCAGGCGAGCTCACCTGGGGCGTGGACGAGACCCTGGGCCAGCTGGAGGCCGTGCTGCACCTGTTCCGGAGCGGGCAGTATCTGCAGAACTCCACGACAAGCAGCAGCATCGGTGAGTGACTCCAAAAGAGATCTGGTGACTGAGATGTGGAAGAGTGAGTGACGCCACCCTAGTTGAGTTAAGTGGCTCACCTCCCCCTCCCCTCCCCCCGCCCCCCCCCAGGCCAGGGGCCCTGGTCACTAAAAACCATCCTAAGAACACTTGAGTGATGCGATGACTCTGGGGGGTCTACTTGGAGATTCCATCTCTGATGAAGCAAACACACAACTCATTCTGTCTTGAATTGAATGTCCTCAGACCCCTCCATGTCCTGGCTGTGTAACTTACCCCCAAGGCCTCACTTCCTTCATCTGTGAATTGGGTTCAATATCACTCACCTCACAAAATTCTTATGGGGATTTTGTGGCCAGTGAGGTGTGTAAAAGCGATTAGCACAGTTCTTATTACACAGCTGGAACACAAAATGTGTTTGCTTCTCTTTCCTTCCTCTGCACTCACAGGGCTAGAAGAGTAGCTGGAGGTGGAGGGGCCCTTCCCCAAAGCCAGCCAAGAAGCTGATTCTCCCAGGGTGGGGGAGAATTCTAGCCACTGGTTATAGGCTGTGGTCCCTCCACAGAAGCCTGGGGTTTAGCTGTGGTTGGCAGGGGGGCAAGGGGTGGGCAGCCTCCTTATTCAAGGAGCCCTGGCCAGTCTTAGGGGTGGGGGAGCCCTCGTTAGCCCTGTAAATAAAGTTTAACGAGGTGAACAATGGCTGGCTCTGTCCCTGAGGACTCTGTTTATGGGGCTATAAATCACAGCCAGCCCTGGACTTTGGTCTAGTCCCTGGCAGGAGATGGAGGCCGGAGGGCGGGGTGGCCAGAGGCCCAGGGATTCTGCATTATCAGTTTAGAACTGGGGCTCCCTGCAACAGTGAGGAAGATGGGGTGGACAAGAGGCCTGCAGCCAAGCTCTCTGAGCCTCTGGAGCCTTCTGCATCACTGAGAGACCTCAGCCCCTTCCGCAAACACTAGCCATGGCTGTTGGGTTTGTTGTTTTTTTTCATTTCATCATTTGCATACCTCAACCTCAAAATTCTTATGAGTGCCCTCCCAGGCCTAACTGAGGTTAGGACCTCTGTCCCCAAGGCCAGAAGCAGATGTGAGTTCTAACCAGCACCAGAAGCTGGTTAGAAATGCAGATTCTCAGGCCCTACCCAGATAAGATTCCCTGGGCCTGCACATGCACAGTGAGGTTTCAGAAGTCTGACTCTAAATGACTTAAATGCCCTGACCTCAGCAGCCAGCCTGAACAGCTGGTGGTTGTGTGTATCCACCTGTCTGTTTTTCTGTCCTACGTATATGTCCACTTGTGCTCAAGAGCCGTGGCCTTTGATTTGAGAGTTGTTTCTTTCCCAAAATCCAACTCTCTGTTTAGCCATCGTTGCACAATCAGCCTCTTGTTTTTTTTCTTCTTTTTTCTTTCTATTTGTTTTGTTTTGTTTTGTTAGTCATAGAGCTGAACTCAGGGCCTGGGTACTGTCCCTGAGGCTACCACTTTGAGCCACAGCTCCACTTCTGGTTTTCTGGTGGTTAATTAGAGATAAGAATCTCACAGACTTTCTTTCCCCAAGCTAACTTTGAACTGCGGTCCTCAGATCTCAGTTTCCTGAGTAGCTAGGGTTACAGACTTTATCCACCAGCACCCAGAGATCAGCCCACTTTGAACAGAGATCTACCTTCATCTTTATGCTGAGGGTACTGGCCTACACATCAGCTTTCACCTAGTAAATTAGTCTCGCAGTCCTATTCAGAAAGTAGCCCTAGCCCTCAGCCAAGACACACAGTTCTCATTTTGCATTATCCCCAACCCATAGAGTACCAGCGTATCCCAGACAGCACCATCCCACAGGAAGACTACCGCTGTTGGCCATCCTATCACCATGGCAGCTGCCTCCTGTCTGTGTTCAACCTGGCTGAGGCTGTGGATGTATGTGAGAGCCATGCTCAGTGCCACGCTTTTGTGGTCACCAACCAGACTACCTGGACAGGTGAGCCAGAGGGAGAGGGCATTCTGAGGGAATGGCTAGACTTCGTAGGAGTATTGGGCAGAAACCAGAGGGAAGGCTGAGCTGGCGAGGTAGAGGTATCTCTGTGCTCAGGAGTCAATTTAGGTGGGTGGCTCTGCCTCCAAGGAGAGAAACATCCAGACCTGTTACCTTTTTCCTATGCTCCAAGGTCGAAAGTTGGTCTTTTTCAAGACTGGATGGAGCCAAGTGGTCCCGGATCCCAGCAAAACCATATATGTGAGAGCCCCTGGCTGATCTGTGAAGAGTTCAGCTGACCAGCTGACCATCCTCACCAGGTGGGCTTGCCTGTGGTGCAAGTAACATGCACTAGAGGCCCTGCCTGTCACCTGGGAATCCCTGCAAACAAGGCTGACATCCCAGACAGACCGATGTGACCAGGACAAATGTGCAATAATGCAACATGTTAAAATGTGAGTTTGCCAGCTTAGGTCTGAGACTGCTGGCTCCCAGACTGCAATGACTGGTTGAGAGACTGATTGCCTTTCCTGAGCTCTGGGCTGCGAGCAAGGCTCAGGCTCGTCTGAACTGGGACAGTTCATGGTGTGAGAATGTAGCCAGAGCCCTGCTACTGCTGCTGCTGCTGCTACCGCTACCGCCACTGCCACTACTGCCACATGCCATGGCGGGCGGAGGCTGCGTGGGGACAATCAGTCATGGAATGTTCTCTCAGATCCAGATGGGAGACTGGTGAAGGGGGTGCTCCCAGGTAGAGATGATCCCATTCCTGCAGAGTCTGCCTCTGTTCTCCTGACAGGGGGCGCTCCCAGGCCAGCCTAGGGGTCGGGGCAGCAGCACACACGACCATATGAGCCAAGATAAGAGTGGAGGAGCAGGTTGCGTTTGAGCCAGGACCTGGGGTGGGGGTTGAGCCAGGGCCTTTCTGCCTCATTTGCTTTCAGTGAAAGCCACAAAGCAGCCCAAACCAGGCTCTCCCTCTCCTGGATTTTGTATATCCAGAAGCTTTTGTACTTCTTGTCCATTAAATTGTTTATTTTTGTAAAAAACAAAACAAAAACAAAAATTAAGCCGCTAATAAAATGACATTTCTTGACAAAAACCCTTCTCAAGACATGGCTTCTTGGGCTGTGATTTACTTACCTAACCGTGTGTGTGTGTGTGTGTGTGTGTGTGTGTGTGTGTGTGTGTGTGTGTGTGTTTGGCAGAATAAAATCTCAGTGGCAAATATGGAATAAAAGGTGTTCTCAGATCCTCATCCCATAGTACCAACCTCCCACCTTGTATCCCCTCCCCTTTCTCCTAGGAGGTTCTCATTTTAACATATCCCAGCTCCTTATGTACAGAGCTCTAACCCATGGTAGCGATGGGCTCATGGTGCGTTTCGGACACCTCCGTTAACTAGAGGGGAAATAATTCAAAAAGGAATTATGGAAACCAGGTCCACTTTGCCTCTGCATGTGGTTAGAACATCACTGGCCATTATCACTACTGCCTACCACAAGCTCATGGGCACTTTTCTTTGTAGGAGCCTTTCTCTAAACAAGAAATACATGAAGGGGGCTGGGAAGGTGGCTCAGTGGTAGAGTGCTTGCCTTGCATGCCTGAGACCCTCTGTAAAATTCCTCAGCACCACATAAGCAGAAAAAGCAAGAAGTGGGACTGAGGCTCAAGTGGTAGAGCGCTAGTCTACAGCTGAAGAGCTGAGGGACCGTGCCCAGGCCCAGAGTTCAGGCCCCACAACCAAAAAAAAAGAAATACATGAAGAATGGGGAGAAAGAAAGTCTACGAAAAGAGCACCCTCCCCTTTCTAGATGTTAGGACAGTTTATCAAGGGAGGGGTGTATGGACACATAACTAGAAGAGGTGGGGGGGAGCTCATTCAAAATCAACTGAAACTAGAGGCCCACACCTGAGCAGATGTGGTTGGTCTCATTTCTCATATGGAAGATAAGTAGCTGAGGTGCTAGAGTTGTAGGCTCCTCATCATGGACACCCCACTGACCCTCAAGGTAGCAGTCATCCCCATCCTCACCTCCAGCTCACACATACATGTCTTATTTGCGGTGTCTGGGCTTACAATGGTGGGAGTGATCAGAAGCTCCACAGACCCTCACGCTGACTTGTCCCAGCCAAGTCCTGCCCAAGCTCTCCATCCCTCAGGCCTAAATCCTCTTAAGAAGGACCTCAGCCTCCAGACCTCTCTCCCTGGCTGAACTCATGCACCAAAATGTTTGGCATGTGCCATCCAATGTTAGATGCACTGCCCAGGCTGGGCACCGGTGGCTCACGCCTGTAATCCTAGCTACTCAGGAGGCTGAGATCTGAGCATCATGGTTCAAAGCCAGCCCGGGCAGGAAAGTCCGTGAGACTCTTATCTCCAATAAACCACTAGAAAACTGGAAGTGGCACTGTGGCTCAAGCGGTAGAGCGCTCGCCTTGAGCTGAAGAGCACAGGAACAGTACCCAAGCCCAGAGTTCAAGCCCCATGACTGACCCCCCCCAAAAAATGCACTGCCCAGTTACTCTTCAAGTCTTATCTAGCCTGAGGGGCTCTGAAGGCAGGCAGGAGGCTCCATGTCACCAAGCTGGGTGCTTGCTAGGAGTATCAGGATTGACCTGATGGAAGGGAGCTAGGGCGAGAAAACTGATGACCTCTCACAGTCCGAAGAACACAAGACCTAAGTTACAACCAGCAGAGAGCCCACAGGGCCCAGCATATATGCATGACTTAGTGAGGAAAGTGAAGGCTGGAGATAGACCAACCCCTTTGGAGGAGTTTGCAGACGATGGGCTTACCCTCCCATTGAGAGGGGCAGAAGGAAATGACACCTAGAGCAGGCCAAGCTGTGGCCTCAGGCGATAAAATAATTCCAATTTTACAGACCTGAAGACTTAGCCCATGTCACAGCTGCAGAGTGATTTAGAGAGCATGCAAATCCGGCCATAATTCACAGCCCTGGCTCTGCTCAGCAGCACGTGCTGCCTCCTATACAGAGCTACAGCCAGAGCAATCCAAATTAGAGTTAGCTCCACCTTCCTTGCAGTGTGTGACAAGCTAAAACGCAGGCCCCAAATTCGCAAAATCTTCTTTAGAAAACTTGCCACAGGTGGCCAAAGGGATGATTACTCTTCCCTCAGACGGCCAGTCTTTCCTCAGAATCTTTCCAGGGTCAGAAACAGCCAGGCTCAGTCTGCAGAATTGAGAGGTGATGAAGTAAGTACCAGACAAAAAAAATGGGTAGTGAGTAAATAACCGAGGCAAAAATACCTCCATATAGACACTCACATGTGGCCACCTGCCTACCATGGACCTTACAAATCCTGGTGCATCTTGTTTTTTCCTTCCTGTGGAAGCCAGGATCATGTCTTACCTCCCACACCCTCTTGGCAATACCAGTGATCCCAGCAGTGGCGGATGGAACTAATATTCCCTTCAAAGCCACAGGTGACCTGGGTACCAGGGGCTCGTGCCTATAATCCTAGCTACTCAGGAGGCTGAGATCTGAGGATCACAGTTTGAAGCCAGCCCACGCAGGAAAGTCTATGAGGCTCTTAGCTCTACTTAATCACAGAAGAAGCCAGAAGTGGTTCTGTAGCACAAATGGTAGAGTGCTAGCCTTGAGCAAACGGAGCTCAGGCAAGCCACAGGTGACTGTGTCAGAGGTAGGAAGCCAAGGTGGGCTGGGAAGTGACGGAAGTAGGAACAATAGGAGGGGGCAATGTAGCTCACTGGTTCCTCCAGTGAGGACCCAGAGCCAGGCTAGGGTGGTCAAGAACCCTGGACAAAAAAAAAGTTGTACTTTTTGACTTACTGTTAATTCGCTGTGTGACAACTTTCCTGAAACTCTGTTCTCTCATCTGAAAATTCCAGACGGATAATAGCAGCTTTACAAGAGCCTTACCAAAATGGGATAAAATCCTGTACCTAAAGGTCTTAGCCAGTATCAGCCAACAGCAAGTGCTGTTGGCATAGGCTGGCTGACAGTCATTGCATTATTATTAGTGAGCTGGGAACTCGGTGTTCATCTGTTATCTGGCTTGAAAGAATAACTAGGTCTGCTAAGGAGGACCAAGGCTGCCTTGCCTGGAGCCTCCCTCCTCCTCAGCAGAGAGCATTGCTGTTGGCTAGGGAAGGCGGGGCTCAGCTGCCCGGGTCAGTGCCCTCCACGTTGAGTGTGTGGCAAACAGAAGAAGGAAGAGGATTAACATGAAAGCAGAAAATGGGATTAGGAGGCCCCAAGATAATATGCCCACCGCCCCCTGGTCATGACAACAGCTTCTTGCTTTCATTCTATAGCTTTCTGGAGTCTGAAACATGTAAGACAAGGTTGCCCCTGCTCCTGGGGCAGAGAGCCCAGAAAGGAGACTTGGTGGACTCCAACTAGGAGATTACCAAGTTTGCTAGGAAGAGGGCCTGGGCCACGCCTGGCTGCCAGCCAGACCTCTGGCTGCCTTTCTGTGCATGTGTTGTTTAATCCACATGGCAACCATGGCACAGAGAGGTAAATAGTAAGATCCAAGCCCAGGCCTCTGCATCTAGAAGCTCTCATTCCTTCTGTTCCGCCCAGTACAGCATCTCCTCGTGATCAGTGATAAATATGCCAGATCAGCGATCCACTCACACCTGTTTCCCAGGCCCTCACCCTGCCTTTGACACTGTCCATCACTGTCAGGGGCTGTCACTTACATAAGCTGGTTTATACACTCAACATGATTATGTGTGTCTAGCTTTGATGGGGGAAAAAAATCAGGAGTCTTCCCTCAGGAAGAGGAGCATCATGGACATAGACATGAACCTTATATGTTATGTTTAGGGAGTGAGAATTCTGTGGTAGAGTGAGAGGTCACCTAGAGAGCAGGAAAGAAAGAATAATTTTGCTTTGCAGCAGTGTCCAGCCATTCATTTGGCTTGAGTATGTTATGCATATAAAGTAATGAATGTGGAAAGTATATATATCATGATTAGAAAGGGTAGGGCCTTTGAAGGAGAACAGGTCTGCTTCAGGGCCACTTTTACTTTCCCTGTTCCCAGCTAATGCTATCCCTAGGATGGGGAAAGTGCCATATTCATCTAGCTTTGTGAAGTATGTGGATCAAGATCTCTACTAAAATTCCCTCTCAACTTTTGAGGCTGACAATCATGTGGTTCATTTTCATTCACTCAAGGTCCTTTCTGACTCCTTTCTGGAATGTGGTCTCTTGTCCTGCCCTACACCTTACATTCATTCACCTACCCATCTGTGGCCTCATTCCAGCTCCAGGATCTCTCCTAAGGTACAATGATGAGATAGTCCCATTCCCTCATTCATAGGAAATAGCATAATGAACATACTATATGGTGAGCAAGGTGTGGGCAAAAGGGAACCTAAGGGATAATAGTTGCAACCCAGGACCATAGGAGCCAAGTCATTACCACAAGCTGGAAGGACAGCCGCAAACAGAGGGAGTATTTCAAAAAGAGAAGGGACCAAGGAACATGGTTAAACAAGGTGGAACCTTGCAAAGAACATATGCTTTCCTCACACCTGCCTCCCTTCCTTCCCCCCACGCCTCTCTGTCAACCCTTCCATTGTGCAAATCCAATTGGAAGACAAGAGGGCCAAGGTATTTGATGTGAGATCCATGATATCACCCCCTTCAGATACCAAGTGAGAAAGGAGGAGAGCAGACTACAAATATACTACCCACTTCATGTGAGAGCCTTGATCTACCTTGAAGGAAGGGCAAGTGAAGACTTCTTCTGTCTCCAGTTTCAGTCTTTAAGCATTCAATTATTGGCAGTTCTGTTAGAATGAAGTAACACCCTGGGCCCAAACAAACCTTCATGGCTCTCATGTACTCTCAGTAGAGCCACTATCATCCCTAAGGAGACAAACTTGGTCCTTGGAAGATATTATACTAGTCTGGTCTTTCATGAGGACATAAACTACTATATAGAATCTCTATGCTGTTAAAATTCCAAGGGAAATGCCAGGGGGAAAAAAGAATCTTAAAAAAAAAGTGATGGGGTCAGGCACTGGTGGCTCACGCCTATAATCCTAGCTACTTAGGAGGTTGAGATCTGAGGATCTCGGTTCAAAGCCAGGC